TTTTTTTTTTTTTTTTGTGGGGGGGGGGGGGGGGGGGGTAAGCTTTGTACTTTTGTTCTTGCTATTCAATAACTACCAGCAATTATGTAATTGTAATATTTGCACATTATTGAATAATGATCGGTCTTTATCAAGCGTTTGGGCTACATAGTTTATTCATGGAAAGAAAACCATTCCATCTATGTTTCAAACTGTCATTTTACCTAAAACTTTAACACTAAAACTTTGCAAGCACTGGTATTTTCATTAGGAAATGTAAATATAATTTAATATTCATTTTTGAGTTTAGTGCTTAACATGAGATTCATCTTGCAGGCTCTTCCATATGTCTGTCTGCTAATCGCCATGCTGTTTTTCATCTATGCCATCATTGGCATGCAGGTAAAGGTTGTCTTGGTCCCCAGACTGTCTGTTTCCATCTTTATATTCTTCTCTCTGTCTCTTCCTTTCTCTCTGTTTCTTTGCCACCTTTTCTTTTACTTTACCTCGATAAGCCTGTAAATGTGACAGACACCTTTTATGTGTTTGTAATTTCATTAAAGGTATTCGGCAACATCAAGCTAAATCCCAAAACCCAAATCAACGAACACAATAACTTTAGGACATTTTTTGGTGCTCTCATGCTGTTGTTTAGGTAAGATTAACTTCTTAGTTTGTTGTAAAAAAAAAAAACAGGTGCTACATTTTATGGTGTGTTAATTATTTTACTATGAAGCCAATACAATGAAGCAGTCCATCCTTTGGACATTAATAAATGTGACTTAATTTATAATATACATATGTGTGTGTGTGTGTGTGTTTAGGAGTGCAACAGGTGAGTCGTGGCAAGAAATCATGTTATCGTGTTTAGGAGAGAAGGATTGTGAAAAAGACGAATCACTCAACAACTCAACAACAAATGAGAAAAAAGATTGTGGTACCGAATTTGCATACTTCTACTTTGTCTCCTTCATCTTCTTCAGTTCTTTTCTGGTGAGAGGCAATTCATTTTAATGACACATACATAGCATTATAAACCTGTACACTGAAAACCCACACACTTAAGACCTATTCACACCAAATCCATTTTTTTGGTACATAAAATATATGGCAAGATTTTAAAATGGAAAAAAAACATTGAAAAATTAAATGCAACTTGTATCATTGAAAACATGAATATCCGCCACTGCTCAACATTCTTACCCTCACTCAATACCTTTCTGCTTTTCTGTCTGTTTCTCTGTCTCTATTTTCACATCTCTAATTCTCTTTCAGATGCTAAATCTGTTTGTGGCCGTGATCATGGATAATTTTGAGTACCTGACGCGTGACTCGTCCATTCTGGGTCCTCACCACTTGGATGAGTTTGTACGGATCTGGGGAGAGTATGACCGTGCAGCATGGTGAGAGATACAGCTTTCCAGTCATTTCAGTTGATCACATGCAAATGCAATACAGATGTACAATTAAAAAAAAACACACTGTGATTTACTTGGTTAATATTTTCTCATTCTGCAAAAATATTATATTTTTGAATTGATTATAATATATTTATGAAAAACATTGTTTTTTTGTGTTTTTAAAGTATGCTTTATGAATGTCATATTTAAAAAATGTACAAGGAAATTTGCATTGTAATTGTCAGTAATGTTTCTGTTTCTTTCTTTACACTAATTTGAAACCTTGCAGGATTACTTAAAGGGGTCGTATCATGATGAATTTTTTTTTTTTTTGGTCTTTTGAGATTAAAGAGTTCATTACACTAAGAAAGCAAACTGTTGCTGAATTCAGACCCCATTTACTGACACCATGCTGCAGAAAATGGTCATTTGAGCATTTACTTTCAAAATGACAGTATATTCTAAGAGTCAGAGAAAGGGTGTAAAACAAAAGAGCTATATCATGATGGCTTTTGGTTCAGAAAACGTCACTAATGTATGATATGACCCCTTTAAAGTGTGTTTCATGAAAAATAACCACTCCTACTACATGTGTCTTGAAGTTGTCTAATTTACTGTTAACGACCAGTATTTCCTTCTCCAGTGGAAAGCTACACTATAAGGAGATGTACAAAGTAGTACGCACAATATCGCCTCCTCTGGGCTTTGGAAAGAATTGCCCCTACAGGGTGGCATGCAAGGTTTGGCTCACCCACGAAAAAACTTCCCCTCTGCCTCTCTCTCCTCTTCTCCTTTTGTCATTCCCCACACCTTCACTAGCTAACACCCCTCACCCCACTCTTGTTCCCGTGATCTACTCTAGTGCTTTCCACCGGGTCAAAGACTGGCAGAGACAAGAGCTCAGCGCACAGAGAGACAGCTCATCCCTTTGGCCCTCGTCCCGCTCCTGAAGTGTGAATAACTGCTGCAGTTAATGACACTGAGAGCCATCCATCAGTGAACTCCATTAGATAATATCTAACACTGTCAATGGATGTTAGTGGGGATTCAGTCTCTCTGTGTCTGAATTGGATTTGGGGCTTTTATTGAACATTATTTGAGGAGGGCAGACTCCTCATATTCGCCATTGCCTCACCTGTTTGTAAATCAAAAGAACATTATGCTCATCTCTCCCCTGACCTACCACAGTGGCAGAAATTAATTTTATATTTTTAAAGGGGAAATATTTACTACTTGAAAGTTTTTATCTTATGAGGGCATACTTTTATAAACAATTTTTATTATAAAAAACTGTATGTTACATTTTGAATTAGAATTATATAATTTATATATTATATTTAATCTTACACATTATATAAAACAATTATATAAAAATATTATATTTAATCCCACATATATAGTATTTGTATTTTTCTATTTGACTGTATTTTTATGATTATTTTTTATATTTATGCATTATATTTAATAAATATTATTTATACACACACATATACATGAACAAAAATTCAAAAACTTCAGAAAGTCATGACTTTTTTTTTTTTGCTTCCACAAATCGAACTTTGCTGCCGTTTGTTAATTTCTGGCTCTAAACACAATGCCCCTTCTGGGTTATGTATTATAATAGCAGTGCTTCCGTTTCAATACAGCCAGTCAAATCCTCAGATCCACCTGCTTGACTCATCAGATCTTTGGCTGTTTTAATATTTTCTCTCCTTTAGCCTCTTCTATGCCTGCATTGCATAGAAAGACCTCCACCTGACCTCACCTCTATGTTTAATCAGTTTCCCTTTTTGACAGTTTTTCCTTTAAGTATGAAACACATTAAAATGACCTTCCCTTTCCTGTCTCTTCCTTCTCCTTCTATCTTTTCTGTTGTTTCCTTTTTCCTCTATGCCAATCTTCCTCTCCTCCCTCGTTCCTTGGAAATGCCCAATTCTTCTTCCTCCTCCTCTTCTTCATCACATTGCCCCTGGTGACTGCCCCCTCCTAGTGGCCGTATTCATTACACTGATATGTACGAGATGCTGACCTGCATGTCGCCACCGCTTGGCCTGGGCAAGAAATGCCCCTCCAAAGTGGCGTATAAGGTAGTCTGCAGTATTACGATTTGAATGAAGTCTGCTCGTTTTCAAGAGGCTCAAGCTCAAGGCTGTAGTTAAAGTGTCCCCAAGATGTATTTGGACACTTTAGTCAAACTTTAAATAATATGAATACTGTATCATTGCATTATGTAAAAGCATATTGAGCCAAGTGAGAATGATTTGTGAAACACAAGTTAGCTAAAAGTTTGCACTCGGTTTTATGTTTTCGATCTAGTTACATTGAGTAACTTAATTGTTTTAGGGCCACTGTATGCAAATAATTGCCATACATATATCTATACAGGGCTCCAGACTGCGACTAAAACGGTCGCATTTGCGACCAAAAATAATAATTTGCGAGTGAAGTTTTTGCTGAGGTCGCCACTGTCTATTTCGTGCACAACTTGAATAAACTACAATAGGTAAAGCTGTCAGTGTCACAATTCGCTGTGGGAGAAACGAGAGAGAAATGTGGAGTACAAGCAAAAGTCTTTAATCCAGGAATCACAGGGCTCTCCTCTTCGCTTTGGCACTTTCGCCGCGCCATACTCAGCTCAACCTCAGTCGCGGTACAGGGGGCGGAGCTCCTCTCAGCGCTCACACCGTCCGCGGCTTTCTCCCTTGTGAAAAGACATTTAGTTCCCACTTTAAGTGAACCTAGTTCCCAGGTCATCTACAAGATGGATTAAAATGCTGATAAAGTCAAGAAAAAATGAGACATAAACACATGACAGTATGATTGAAATGTTAAAATGTAAAAAAATTAAATAAATAATAATAATAATAAATAAATAAAACCCGTTTATTCTGTGGCACCTAAAAAAATAATTTGGCGCCTACGTTTTTTTCATATAGGAGCCAATGGCTCCTTACTCGATTTTTTTGTCTGGAGCCCTGATCTATATTATTATTTGTAGACGATCAGTGATGTTATTCTTTGTCATTGTCTCTTAATCATCCTACTGTAAAGTCCCTGTACATCCACCAATGATACTTTATTTGAATATGTCACCTTAACATCTTCAAAACACTGTCATTACCCTGACATTTATTCCAGTGTTAAAGACATATTGCAAAGGGCATATTCATAAAGTGTGATCCTTTTCCAATTTCTATGCATAAATTTCTACTCTGTCTCTATCCAGTATATGTGTTTCAACTATGTGCATGAATGAGTGATGTTGTGACATCTTCTTGGTGTTAACTGTAGAAGTTAAAAGACAACTAAACCTAGATGACTATTAGATTACTATTTTAAAAACATGCTCTCTCCTTAGCTTTGCAATCCTTGTATTTCAATTGTCTTCTGTCCTTATGGTGACTTTCTCTCAGCGGTTGGTTCTGATGAACATGCCAGTGGATGAGGACATGTCCGTCCACTTCACCTCCACTCTTATGGCCCTGATACGCACTGCGCTGGACATTAAAATCGCTCGAGGTTGGCACCATTGATCATTTTCAGTTTTATAAAAATCAAACTTCCTCTGGTTTGTCTTTTTTTTCACAATAATATTAATTAAATGGTCTTTGTGTAACAGGGGGTGAGGACAGGGGTCAGATGGACATAGAATTGCAGAAGGAAATCAGTGTCATCTGGCCGCACCTCTCCCAGAAATCTCTTGATCTGTTTGTACCCATCCACAAAGGTGAGAGATCTGAATGATAATTTTTTTTTCATTAATTTCTTAAAGTTTTAATAGTGTGTTATTTTTATTTTTCGAGTATTATTCACCTTGGTCTTGACAGTTTAGCTTGTGGTACCATTGTTGGCCACTAGGGGTGCCCACTGACTCCCCTGAAAGTGAGTGTAATTTGCAGCTGGCATAGAAATCTTAGTTTTCTACAACAAACAAATCTTTCTTCCAGCCAGTGACATGACCATTGGGAAGATTTATGCAGCCATGATGATCATGGACTACTACAAGCAGAACAAAGCTAAGAAGCTCCGTCAACAGCTTGAGGAACAGGTAAAGATATATTTTACCTTCTAAAGCACTAGAACTTCAGAGGTAAAGACTAGTTAACTCACAACCTCACGGCTATTGAATCAGCTTATATATGCAAAATTGCCATCTAACAGTATGGAATGCTGTTTTTCTAACTGTATAGAATGCTGTTCATTTTACTGAAGACACATAACAGAAAAACCTTCATATCTCAATTTGAAGTGTAAACGTCCTAAAGCTGGAAAGATGTACTGTTTTTCGGTTTACTGGATCACTGTGTCACTGGAGAGATTGTGCTGACCATCTAATGTTGTCTTGCAGAAACATGCACCGATGTTCCAGCGCATGGATGCGTCTTCACTGCCACAGGAAATTCTCTGCAGTGCCAAAGCTCTGCCATTCCTGTCACACAATGCAGGATCTGCCCTGTAATTGTACCTGTTGTGTGTGTGTGTGTGTGTGTGTGTGTACTTACAGTACATTCGCCCTGTATCTGTCTGCACCAGTGTTATTTTAGTATCATTGATATGCTAATATAGTTTTGTTAATATTTTGAATGTTTTTATTTTTATATTTTCTCTTTTCATTTTAATTTTAGTTATAGTTTAAGTAATTTTGTTGTGTTTTTGCCATTTTAATTAGTTTATTTTTTTACTATGTCTATATAGTTTTTACTGTTTTAGTTTATTTAGTTTTAGTTGTTCTAGTACTTTAACTTATACTAAATGAAAATGAGAAATGTTGCTTTGGCAACTAGCTTAAATATATTTCATTCAGAGGCGTCATGCCCATTCAAAGTGAAAAAAAATAGCCGAATAATATTTTCTATATTTGATACAATAACACCAGCATGGTTAAATCGTTCAGCGCGTCATATCATCAGCTGCTAAAATTCAAATCTGCGTTCGCTAGCTGACGCTGAGCCAGAGACAAACGCGTCGACGCGTTTTTACAGCAACACACTCGTGCCCCCTCAAAAATAATGAGTGCATGACGCCCCTGATTTCATTTAATGTTTATTTTAAGTAGTGAAAATGTTTTAGTTTATAGGGTTAGGGTAAATAATAACCCTGATCTGGACCTCTCCCCATTAGTTCTTTCGTTTCTTCTAGATATACACAATACTGGTGCAATACTTTAAAGCATAGAGGCACAATTCTTTATCACAATTTTTGTGATAAAGATTAAAGTTTTATATAAACTTTTACAAAATATACAATTTACCTATAGGTTATATATAATGAAAAAATATATTTTTATATATGCATTAAATATTTATATCCCCCTTCTTAAAATTGTGATTTTGGCCTGTCCCAGCTTGGGTCAGCTTGAGGTCTTGATCTTTTTGATGATATCCAACAGCGTCACAAACTTTTGAAATTAATTGTACTAAATATCTTATTTCTGATCACCAAAAACAATGTTTAGATGTGACCCACAGTTTGTGGTGTACAAAATGTACCCTATTTGTAGATGCATTTGTGGTGCAAGCCAACATGAGCATATTTGACAAGTTTCTCTGTTGTTTCGTCAGGAGTAGAGGTGGGTTTGTAGCACTGAGTCCCATATCACCCCAAGACCTCTTCATGCAGCGCTTGGCCCAAGACAGCATGGAAGAGAGGGATGAATACCAACACCAGTATCACCTTCAGAGTATGGTAGGAGAAACTAAATACACGAAGAAATACATCTCATCTCAGACATACTGACAGAGTATGCCTTGACATGTCTTGCATGACGTGTTTTATTAATTATTTTACATATGTGCATGAAATACCTGACAGCTGCTTTATGTTTTGTGAAACAACATTCAAATTTGCGATCTATTTCAAATTCTCAAACTGTATGTGAATTCAGGCTCATTCTCAGTGTTTAATAATTTATGAATAATTCAGGTTGGAAAATTGATACAAACGGTGACACGGTCTGAATACCACATAGCCAGACACTGATCCATTTGTAAAAGTAGGAATAGAAAAGTGGAACAAATTTTTCAGAGTCTAATTTGAGATATGATTTGCAAAGCACAGACTGTAATTGGCAATGCCTGGTCAGTAAAACAAAAGTTTTATCCTTGTGAATTTTGGTCAATTTGGTAGCTTAGTTTATACAACAAACTAAAAAAGTAGTCCTACACAAATGAAAGTAAAATTAAAATTAGGACACATCAGAGACTGTGGGTAGCGTATGTGTGCATATGTAGGTGACTAAAATTTCAATCCGCCCTGGTTTCGTAGTTCGTGTTTTTGTCTCTGCAGTATATTCTGTGCAGTCTGTACAGAACAGAAAGGAAATTGCAAAAAAAAAAAAAAGACATTGGTATAAGCGGAATAACTGACTCTTGGACAGTTGAATTATTAATTCAACTGTCCGTTGTCAGTTATGTGCTACATTTTTATTTTAACATATAGATGAAGCTGAAGCTAAAAATCACAAAACTCCAACTTTTGATATCTAAATCATCACCTAAAGATTTCTGGCAATGGTTTGTCAAGTGAGTAGGTTCTTTTTTTTTTCAACAGTGTCTTTATTAATTTTAGAAACATTTAACATTAAACATAAAATAAAAATAATAATAAAATATATATACAATATGGGGTGCTGTGTGTACATTAATGAGGAAAAAAAATTTACTTAAATGATTTTAGCAAATGGCTGCAATATAACAAAGAGTGAAAAATTTAAGGGGGTCTGAATACTTTCCGTACCCACTGTATATATGTACATATACATACAATACCCATACATGTTAAAACAATGGTACATTAATATCCTGAGGTGATGCATGTTAAGCCAAGTTACACAAAAAATAGATTTGGATCAGCTTCTTTAATAAATCATATAAAGGGATTCCATACTTTGAAAAACTTTTCAGGCTTTCCCTTAACAATATATGTGAGCTTTTCCAGAGCCAAGCAATGAGAAAATTCTTGTAACCATTGTTTAAAATGAGGGCTTTCTATGTCTTTCCAAAGACGAGCTACTATAAGTTTTGCTTGTAATAAACAGAATATCAACTATTTCTTATCAGAGCTAGTTAAAGTGCAATTTACAGGGAAAACATTTAGTATACAGAGTTTAGGACATTTGGGAACATTTTGTTTCAACACCAGAGATAAAAAGTCTAAAACTTTTTTCCCAAAAAAGTTGAACTTGGGGACATTTCCATAAACAATGATATAAAGTTCCTGTCTCTAGATTACATTTTATACATTGATCGGGAATGTTGGGATTAAATTTGTGTTGAGTTATGTATACTCTCATAATCCACGTATATTGCAGAAGTTTGAACCTCGTATTAATTGTCTGTGTTTAAGCCTATAGACAGATACTCTGCCATTTATCTTCTGTTATATTCCCATTTATATCTTGACACCATGCCAGACGTTTATTTTCCGTATTTTCCATGCAGTTAGTAGAGATTTGTTTATAAAATAAAGACATTTGCCTACCCCCATTAAGGTGGCTTAAAGTAATTTTTTCTAAAGGGTACAGATCCGGCAAGAGAGGAGAATGGTGCTGTGCCTTGTTAATAAAATTCCTAATTTGAAGATATTTAAAAAATATATATATATTGTTATAGGTAAATCAAACTTTTACCTTAAATCCTGGAAACTGAGCATAGTTTCATTACTAAATAAATCTCCCACCTTACTCAAACCTTTTAATGCCCAAATTTTAAATCCAGCATCGTGTGTCCCAGGTGTAAAGTTTTTGTTACCCCAAATAGGGGTAATTTGTGATAATTGTGGAATCTCTCCAAGATGTTTCAAAACTTCATACCATACCACAATAGTATTTTTAACAAAGGGTGAGTAGGTTCATTTTTAAAAGCTGTTAGAAAGTTTACATGCGTACACAGCATATGTTTTTTTGCTTAATATTTTGAGAAGTGACAGATGTAATTAAAACGGTCCACATTTTAACGTCTATTCACACCATATGTAAATGACTTGATTGTCACTCTGAGGAATACAGAAGCCCTTTTCCACCACATGAGAAAAAGAAAATTCATGCTTTGGTAAATCATAATTATGAGGTTATTATTTATTATTAGCATGATTTTTTTCTTATGTTGTGGAAATGGGCTTCCATAGAGGCACTCGCAAACATGCCATCTGATTGGATTGATGTCAAATCTTTCAGGAAGTCATCTGCATGGACATCACCTCCCTGATTCACAATCCTGCATGATGCTTCTACTTTTCCTGATTCATTTTCTTTTCACATTTGCAGCTTTATTGCCATCCCTTTATCATTTGCCTTCTGGCCTTGTAAAGGGAGAAATTTAGAGAGCTGTTTTTTAAGGTTTGGAAGGGTTTATTGATGTGGTTTCTCAAGGTTAGACTGCTAGGTCCAGATAACTTCCAGCACTTATATAACCAGTGAGCAGTTATACACAAGCTTAGATGTCTTTCTGTGCTCTTGTCTGTACTCTTATTTTCTACCCCTCCTGGTAGCTTTTTCTTTGCCTCTCTGCCATGAACTGTGATATAACACTAGATGTCTTAAGGGTTTTTAAGTTGGTTTATGTTTGAAACTCTTTTGTGCTAGAGCCCTTGTGTGTATGCCCAATATGTTTGGCTTCTGTTTTGAAACTTTCTACACCCCCTTTGAGTTGCTTATGCATATTGGCTCTATGTTGTGCTTATGGTGCTTCACTCTTGCCACTTTCCTTTTCCTCTATGACATTTTTGAATATAAACGCATCTTTTCCTAACTTTAAATAAATACTTGCTCCTAAAAAAGCAGTATAACATTCGCCAGGTTATTTTGACTTTAGTACATAAACTTGCATTTCTATTCTGTGTCCACTCCTAACAATGACACACTTGGTGCGATGATATTGAAGGCCCGTTCACACCAAGAACGACAATGATAACTATAACTATAAAGTTCTAAAAATCATTCTAAATTTAGGAGAATAGCAGAGTTCACACACCACAACTATAATGATAACGATATAGAAAAACAATATTGTTAGGATCACTTTCAGAACGATATTTTATAGCTGATAAACGATAAAACACTGGCAGCTGATCAGTCTTCATTCGAATTTAAAGAGCTTGCACATTTAAAATAGCAGAAGACCTTGCAGAGAAGCTCTACACAGCAAACAGAGTAACATGAAAACATAAAATTATCTCAGGTATCCAGCACTAGTTTCGACAACATTGACTGTTAGCCAAATTCGATGTTAAATCAGATAGATTACACTAGCTAGCTTGTTTACATATGCTCAAAACAAGGCATGCTGAAGACATCTGCTGGTTAAAGCCCTGTAAATGCAACAACACAAACTGATTCTGACTTATACGGAAGTATGAATAAAATTTGTCTTCAAAAGCGAAACTCTCTTAGCAGAGTGACGGATTCTCCTAACTCCTCTCGTCTTTATATCATGTGGTATATGTTTCTCCTTTGGTGTCTTTGCAAAAGCAGGTCACTTACATCCACATACGTTACTTAAAACTGGAAACTGGAGCGTGCAAGCTTAGAATAAACAGACCGTTATCGTTTGCTGGTGTGGACGCAAATATAGTTATCCTTATAGTTATTGTTATCGCTCTTGGTGTGAATGGGATTTTACAGCTGCTAAGTGTTATTTTTTAAAGTAAGGACTGAATGTGTCTCCCTCCTCCCCGTTTTTTCTCTTTCTAACTGCGTAGGTGCCAGAGCACAAAGACTTTAGCAGTGTGCTGTGCCCCACTAGCATGCAGGCTGATCCTCTGCAAGTGCCAGGGAGAGGCGTCTCTATCCGAGCCTCTTCCATGCCTCGCCTGGCGGTAGAGCCACAGGTACTACCTGTGTTAGCCTAGCCTAGCGATAACTAGATGCTATGTCTAAATCTGCTCTGTGGTTAGCATCAGCGTTGGCGTTGATTCCAAAGATGGAATGGAAACAGTGGGTAGAAAGGTGTAGTTCGTGATTTGGTGGGAATGTAATGTCTAACCCTGCTGGAAAATCAAACTAAAACCAGCTTCTGATTTGGTTTGGTAACATGTTTATGTAGCGATATCTCTGAAAATAGTAGTATGGAATCACAGTGTTTAAAATATGAATTATGGCAATATTCTAGTTGTATAAATATGTATATGATTATTTAAAAATAGTTTTATTATTTATATAAATATAAAAGTAATCTAAATATTGATATAATATTAGTGTATAAAATAATTATTAATATATATGCTTTAATTGGGGTAAAATGTTTTAGATGGTTTATTAACTGGTGTGCCCAAGGTCAACCTGATTAGAACTGGTGGATCACCTTATTTAATTTAGTAGAGCCCTATGGTGTAACCAGCTACCAGAAACACACCATCTTGACCAGCTTGACCAACCTGTTTTTTTCCAGCAGGGAATGTTAGGAGGTTGTGGTTGCCTTTGTTAGAGCTCAGTTCAGAAAAAAGTTTTTATATAGAAACTCATTTCATTTGCATTGTTTAGTGCAATGTCACTATGTACGGTTTCAAAGAGAGATTCTGTCAATCTTACAGCATAACATGAATTTGTTTCATTTTTGTCTCTGTTTTTGTGTTCTGTTTGTTGATGTGTGCTCTTGGGGTTTGTGTGCATGTTTTGTTTGTTCTCTATGTGTTTTTGTGTTTTGTGCACGTATAGCAGGTGTCTTCAGAGAGTAAACTGATGAAGCGCTCATTCTCCACGATCGGTGATCAGTGTGTGAATGGCGACTGGCAGGAAGAGTTCTCTCTGGAGAGGGTGAGCCCAGACCGACTGGAAAGACCCAGGCAAAGAAGCTTTAGAGGTCAGTTTTCAGTAGGGACGTCAAAAGCACAGGTTCTTTGGTACCAAGTCAATACTAAAATCGAAAAACATAACAATACAAGTCTACAGCAGTGGCTTTCAATCCTGGTCCTGGGGGTCTCTCCCTTATTTAACACACTTGATGCAGATCATCAGCTCATCAAGTGGGTGCTCCATAAATTGAGTATATCAGATAAGAGAGACATACAAAATGGGCAGATTGGTGGGACCCCAGGACCAGGATTGATATCGGATTGATACATGTTTATGTGCTTTGTGAAGATGCCCAGGCCATGGCCACATTTATGTGTGTGTGTGTGTTTGTCTGCACTTGTCTTAACATGTGCTTATGTTTGTGCATGTGCAGCTGTCAGGTCAAACCTGCGGGAGCCAGTGGACAAAGAGAGAGGACGGTCTAAAGAGCGAAGACACCTGCTGTCTCCAGACGTGTCTCGCTGCAACTCAGAGGAAAGGAGTCAGTCCCAGGAGAGACGCCACTCTCGATCGCCCAGTGAGGGCAGGAAACACACGACCCTCAGACAGGTGAGGACACAAACACATGTGCACACCCTCTGACCTGGCAGAACATTTAGTGTTATTTTAGTGTTTGAATGAATTTGTGACAGTAAAAACATGTTACAATGTTGCAAATTTCAAATAAACGAATCCCGAATCCTGAAATGCATCATGGTTTCCACAAAAAGATATTAAGCAGTACAACTTTGTTTTAACATTGATTATTATTAGACATGTTCCTTGAGCACCACATCAGCATATTAAAATGATTTCAGAAGGATCATGTGACACTGAAGACTGGAGAAATGGCTGCTGAAAATTCAACTTTGCCATCAAAGAAATAAATTGCATTTGTAAATATATTCAAATAGAAAACAATTATTTTAAATTGTAATAATATTTCAGAATATTACCGTTTTTGCTATATTTGTGATCAAACAAATGTAGCCTTGGTGAGCATAAGAGACTTCTTTCGAAAACTTAGGCACCTAACTTTTGAAAGTTAATGTACATTGAAGTGTACATACCATCTAATTAAGCATTTATTTCTTCCCTCCCATCCCCTCATTGCTTTCTCGTTCTCTCTCTCTCTCTCTTTATTAACCCACAATCATTTGCCCCATCTCTTCTTATCCCTATAGGAAAATAGTTCAGGCAGCCCAATTCCCTCCACTTCTGATTCAGGGACGCCTCGAGGGCGCCGCCAACTCCCACAGACACCTTCTCGGCCTCGGCCCCACATCTCCTACTCTCCGTTAGTGTGCCGTGCCCATCCGACACAAGGAGAGGCACGGTCACGGGTACTGCCCACAGAGGAAGGGGAGGGTCCAACCGGGACCGGGCAAGGCACCGCTATGGCCCACTCTACCCCTCATCGCTACATCTCAGAGCCATACCTGTCACTGCAGGAGGACGTTAACGGTCCAGACTCAAGTGGTGTAGAGGAGACTCTCACTTTTGAGGCTGCCATGGCAACCAGCCTGGGATGTTCCAACACCATCAGCTCTGCTCCACAACTACGTCACAACTGGCAGGTGCCTAACGGGCATTTCCGTAAACGACTAGCACAAGCCACATCGGGGACGTCAGGCTGTGAGCTTCTCAGTGACACTGATGAGGATGACCGGTGTTAGATTGACATTCGGGTTGATGCCTCTGAACTTTGTGCCTCAATCTAAGGAAAAAATATGCCTGTGTGTGTTTATTTGTGTGTCTGTGAATGTGGAGTCTGATCAGAGATGTGTAATCATCTCCGAAGAACCATACTAAAGATTTAAAGATCACAAACTGCTTGTGATGAAAGGACAGCAGCAAACATGCTGAAATGATCAGCAGTTCTAGCATTAGCACACTGAGGTTGAAGATCGGGTTTGTGCCCTTACACTTTCTCTGAACCCACCCGCAGATAAAGTGCTGGCTAATGCAGATGCATCCAAAAGCATCATCAGGATTTGGGTCTTGCCTGAATGCACTCAGGTTTCTAAACCTGCCTCCACATATTGAGATGTCCCATCAGCAGAAAATCTGTATACTGATAAGGACATTGTGTTCAGACAGAGCGTTTACATGGTCCTTTCCTGGCATGGTATACAGCAGTGTACATGTGGAAGCCACTTATTTTTGATTTTCAGAGGCTGATGGGCAGATAACAGCTGCGTAACGGGGGATTTGACATCCTGATTGTTCTGCTACCTGTGTCGGTGGTTTATTTAGGAGGTACACACAAGCTTATGCTCTAATACATACACTAAGAATGCAGGAAGTGATGTTCAGTCTGTCTATGACAAGAGGTAAATACCCCTTTAACTACATATCGTAATAATGACTGACATTCTATGAAGGTAACAGGGATGTGAAGGGCCTGATAAATTGTGCATGACGTTAATGCAAGTGGATCCAGGTGACATCCTGGCCTTTAACAGTGGAGTCTATATGGAGGACTCGTGTATCGTATGTAAATACTATAAATCCAGTATATGTACTAAGAAGTTTCCAAGCCATGTTTTCTGTAAAGAACTTTGTCTTAAAGTCAAAGTTCTTAAAGATATTATCTTTTGTGACATGATGACCAATCCCTGTCCTTTCTATTTGTTATGCGAACTATTTGAAATGGTTATGGTTCACATACACCATGTTATGTTTGATTAGATCTTATCATCTAATTCTTTTCTAACTGATTTTTCTTGGCCCTTAAGAAAATTTCTAAAGTCTCTCTTTGGGTGAATCTCACAAAGCCTGTCGGGGTCATTATTCCACCACAAAGCCACGAGGAAAAATAAGCTATTATATTTTGCAGAAAGAAAATGAAGTGTTCATTATGCAAGCAACCACTATGAATTTTTGCATTGCTACATAGAATTTTTTACTTGTGCAGTAAATGCAATACAAAAGTATAATGGGTTGCGAACATTACTTCAAAATGTATTTTTGAAGTATTTATACAGTAGAGTCTTATGAGAATCTTGTGAGAATAATAATGATAAAAAATTCTGGATGCACTGCAATCATGAGAATTTGGAGGAAAAATGTACTTAATTGTCATAAAAACAATGTCACAATGCAAACAATCTTAATGGTACAGAAATAGGGATTCTTCCTTCCTATGCAAATTATAATTTCAAAGCAACAACAACAACAAAAAGGGTAAGATATGACCTGTACATGTTTTACTGTGATTCACCCCTTTAGCTCTATTAATAGAATGGGAAAGCAATTACAATGACTGTTTGTTGCCTTAGGGTTCATTTGTAATGTTTATTGTGAATTTCCATATATAGTTTGGCTTAGAAACTGAACGAGTCCTGTAGTTTAAACGGATGAGAAGCATCACCTCCTTCTTACGTGCTAGGCCTTGCAGAAAAGCTGCTCTTACAAATGCATTTGCAGAAATTCAAAATGTACGTTTAGACTAAATATGGTGAGCTGGGATTGAAACAGCTGTAGGAAATGGGCGTAGCGTGTAACATTAGTCTTTTGAGTATTGTAGCAGAAATATGGAACCAATGTTATTGGTCACCCAACATGCCTCCTCAGACTGGTCTCCTCTCTCGATTCCACACAAATAAATACAAAGAAACAAACAAAACAAAGATAATTACACAGCATTTTTAAAGTAATAAACATATTTTGTTAGTTTCTGTATATCCAGCATCTTATTAAAAGCATTTTAAAATCAGTTGCCCCTTAAGAGAATTTCTGTATCATGTGTTGTGTTGTAATTTGTTTTCTTGACATGTTCCTGAATGTGAATATTTGGTATTTGTTCTTCATGGCCTGCTGGGGGTCGCTGCCTTGTGAATTATATGAAATAAAAAAGATTCCCATTGCAGCTGAGTCTCTGCTTCCTAAATCTTATGGTTCATGTTCTGTGCGATTTGTTTTACAGTTTATACTTGATGCTATGCCATGTGTGAGTGGTTAGAGTGGTTTCTGTGATCTAGCATACTGTTTTCAGTCAGCTCTGAGGGTGTTGAAAACTGTTTCTTCTCTCCTATATGGCTCTATTGGCAGTATCGCGGTTATTTATAAACTCTATTTCAAACTGTGAGATTCTCTATAGCGCTTCAGCAGCGTGTTGTTGATGATGATTTACTGCTGCTGTCTATATATGGCCTGTCCCACTTTCCTGAAAGCCCAACCATCTGTTTTTCTATAAAAACAAAAAGTGAGAATGCCCACGGATGTGCTAAGTATATAGCATTAGACTGTAAGGATCATTTTAGAAACATTTCTGAGGAAAAGTTGCTTGTGAGGAGATGGGTAGATAGTTGGATGGATGCATGGATGGATGGACTGATAGAACGATATAACGATAGATAGATAGATAGATAGATAGATAGATAGATAGGCAAAAAATAACCCTTATGCATTATTCATTTAGGGTGTACACCTGTGTGTGTGTGTGTGTGTGTGTATGTGTGTGTATGTGTGTGTGTGTGTGTGTGTGTGTGTGAGTGTACTTGTTTTGACTATTATTCAATTCAATTCATGTTTATTTGTATAGCACTTTTCATGATACACATCGTCGCAAAGCAGCTTCACAGAAAATGAAAGTTTCTACATTACAATGGAATGGAAGTGATAAAAGACTTGTGAGGACCAAATGTCCTCACTTACATTGTGAAATACTTTGACAACCCACTAGTGAGGACATTTTACTGGTCCTCGCTAGTTAAAAAAGCTTATAAATCAGCCAAAATAGTTTTTTTTATTTTTTATTTGATTCTATTTAAAAAAATTTATTTCAAACCCAAAGCGCTACAACTCAGAGTAATCATAAGATCATAAAAAAATATATATTATTGTTGCTTAGGTTATTTATTTAGTTGTTGTTTAGAAATGCTGTATCTCATAATTGCACCAACTTGTCACAAAATAACATGCACCATTGTTATGGGCATGCATATGGAAAGAGTCTTTTCTTTTTATTTGTTTTATTTTATTTTCCTTTCTTTTTTATTTGTTTTATTTTATTTAGCTTTAATTTGAAATTGTTAAAATTTTTTTTTGCTTTTTGAGTTTTTTTAACAACCCACTTAAAATCACATTTGCATTATTGTTCATTAAAAGGATATTTCTTTTCAGTGTGGAGTTAATTTGATGTGACATTTGCAAAAGCTATATTAACTAGGATGTGTAATGATATTAACTGAAATTCAGGTCACCGTTTAAACACTCCGCTTATTGAACATTTCTCTAGAGGTATAAAAATAGCTTTTAAAACCTCATAATTGTGTTCATATTTTCAGTGGTGTGGCATTTGAACAGGACCTGACTGAATGACTGACTGTCTTCCAATAGACCCTTATACCACTGGGAGGAGCCACGCAGCCATGCCTCACACCCTTTACCGTAAGTTAGACACTCCTCTAAACACCTTGTCACATTCCTCACTGGGGCTATATGTGAACAGTACAGACAGACACACACACACACACACACACACACACACACACATATGCTTAGGAAAAAGAACTATAGTGATGATGAGAGAGCTTTCTAGACCAATGCTTGGGGTGAATATGACTCACTGGCCACAGTAGAGTTTAAATAGTTGGTCGTCCCATGAGCTCATGCTTTAGATCTAACAAAATCCAATCACTAAGGTCATTATGAATCACTAGTTTAATCTGTTATTCATTTGCATGACTCTTGAAGGAAATTAAAAGGTCTGTTGTCCTGTAAAGTAGTGCATCAGGACCCAGATTTAACTTTAGACATCAAGTGGCAACCTAACTTTGTCCCTATGGTGCTTCCTTACTTTTAGCTCCTGTCGGAGATGTCCAAATTACCCCTCTTCATCAGGGTCATAGTGAGGGTCTCTTGCATTTCGTCCGGTCACTGTAGTGAGATATACATTGCTTATGCGCTAAGCTGTGTTATGGAGAGAGGGTGTATAGCACAGCCCATCTCTGGCGACTCTCCAGGTACCGTTCTGTTTTAGTGGCCTTCAGAGTTCAAAGACTGACCATACCTCCTCCTGAAGCGCTCACAGACCGGCCTGCCTCTCTGAAGCCATGCATGACTCTGAAACTCTGCTCAAACTTCTCTGCTGTGTAGTAAGTGTCTCCTTTTATTCTTATACACAACAAATGCTTGAAAGTACATTTACATTTGTTTATTTTGCAGACCTTGTTTTTATTGCTTGTAGCAATAATTGTTTTATTCTGAGTGTGATTTCTGCATTGGAACACATTCAAATTACACTCTCGGTACTTCTGTCTCAGCAAGCCCCGGTGAACGAGTCTCTCCATTTGTGTTTTGATGTGGTTTGAGCACGGTGTGCATTCTGAGTGTTAGATCGCCCCAGGCCAGGCCTGAGGCCTTTGAAATGAGCTTTATGAGGACAGAAAGAGGCTTTCACGAACCAGAGCTAAACCTCAGATATCCAAGAGACACTCTTGCTTGTCTTTCTTTTTAGTCTGAATTCAATTTATCTAGTTATACACAAAATCATTTTTACTGAAGAACTTCAGTGATTGTGGTCTAAACCTAGGGTACATTAAAAAATATATATATTCATACACTACTGTTCAAAACGTTGGGGTTAGTAAGATTTATTTATTTATTTATTTATTTATAAATTAAATAAATTATAAATAAAAATTATTTTATTTATATGTCAGTAAAGACATTTATAATGTTAAAAAGATATATATTTAAATAAATACTGTTATTTTAATGTATAAACCACTAAGTAAAGATTAGGTCCTGCTACTTAGGGAAAATTATTAAATTGTAATAATATTTCACAGTATTACTGCATTTTTTAAACCAAGAATTGCAGTCTTGGTGAGCATAAGAGACTTATTTAAAAAAAAAAAAAAAAATTTATCACAAATTTTTTAACAGTTGTGTATGTATATCTCAGTAATAGTTGATAATGATTTTAAATCTTTAATATCTGGTAATGAATTGATTATGAACAATTAATTATGAAGTAACCTGATTCTCAGATAACTTCAACTAAATACAGTCATAGTTAAAAATAAATAAATAAATCAGAAAAGATAAATCCAACTTAAGTCATTAATACAATCAAATAATCTTTTTAATGTCATATTTAATGTTTTGTTACTGAATGTTTTCATGAAGTATCCGAAGAATAAAGCAACCAAGTAGTGGCATGCACTGCAGTCTTTATAGTTTTGTGAGGCTTTCTTGTGTAACTGTTGCCCCTGACAACCACCGTTGCCATAATCACAGCCCAAGTTCAATGTCGGCTGGAGCGCTAGCACAAACAGCTAATTCTCTTTGCAATGCAAACTAGCCAGTCCCAGCAACACCACAGGCTGGATGAAATGAAAGTGAAGTTCAGAGAGCTCTGGAGCCCATGTGAGAAAAGCAAACACAGGCTGTTATGCAGTCAAAGGATCGCCTTCAGCTCAACGGCCGCTTGAGAGAAACCTTTCTAACACTGGCTTTATTGAGGCTTTACTTATGTTATGATGAAGCTGAGATTGCTTTAGCAGACAATTCCCATACTGCACGTCAAATTTAAACCTATATACAGTAAATCCTCCTCTTCTGGGGACTGAATCTATGCTACAGTAGCTAATTACATTTTTGTTGACATGTAATATATTTACACATATAATTGCATGGTTTCAGCCTTGTGTTGACTCATGCCATTAAATAATGCAAACAGCATATCAATATAGGAAAAAAGTGGATGTTTGCAGTATGTCACAAGCTGACGCAATGTTAGAAAGAATCTGGTCTTTCATAACAATACCATGAGACATTGTCATGGCAACTGTGGACGTGTGTCACATACAGTATATTGTTGCTGATAAATCAATGAAAGTTCAGTGACAAATAATGTCTTCAATACTTTATTTTTGGGCTATATTTTATTTGGAGCTGATGTTATTACATAAATGTTTTGCGTTGTTTGTTATTCTTACCTGATTTTCACTTTGTGGTTTATACAGTTTATTGGGTAGTTTATTTTATGACTAGTTGTCTTGTAATAATATTTCAATAGTTGCCATTGATTTGGTTTTATATAGTCAGGTGTAAATGTAAGGTTTTATTGTGCTCATCAAACACATTTTCCCTCTGTATGGATCTTGGGAATTTGTTGTTTTCTAGATGTCTATTGTTAACTTTCATCAGTCAAAAGTCATTATCTGTAGACTGGAGATGGTTGTCATCCTTTACAGGGTATCATGCAGCAAATGACCTTAGTAAAAACTGGAGATGGCCTCAACTGTCCTGATCACAAATCCCACTGTGCCCAGGAATCACAGGTAAAAAATGAATCTTCACTTCCTTTTCTCTTTACTAGCTTGTTCTCTTTAGCAGTAATAATGCCAAAGTATTTATGCAACCACCACAACTAACCCAGTCCATGAGAATCAGTCACAACTGCATCTTGATGAATGAAAATCAAATAGCACGTACATTTTTTTTCTAATTTACTTTGCACTGTGCAAAACTTTGGGGCAGAAAGATTCTTTAAAAAAAGTCTCTTTCAAAAATGCAGCCTCACCAAGGCTGCATTAATACTGTAAAATATTACTGCAATTTAAAATAACTTTAAAAAAAAATTTTTTTTTACATATTTAAAAATGTTATTTATTCTTGTGCTCCTTAATATTTTTGTGGAAACTGTAATGCATTTTTTCAGGATTCTTTGATGAATAGAAAGTTCAAAAGAACAGCATTTATTTGAAATGCAAACATTTTATAACATTATAAATGTCTTTACAGTCACTTTTGATCAATTGAATGCATCCTTGCTAAATGAAAGTATTAAATTATTTTTTTTAAATCTTACTGACTGCAAAATTTTAAACAGTGGTGTGTCATTTTTTTTAAATGCTTGTGAAGACATGAAATGTGCTTAATTTAAAGGCATGTTTCTTGTGACTTTCTATAGCGTTGGTTCTATAAAAACATTCCTTATCCAGTGGTGTGATTTTTTTTAAATGGCCTTATCAGTTAACTGTCATGGAATATCTGTGTACTTGATATGCAAATCCTTGGCTAAAAGAAGATATCAATGGCACATGAATTTATCACTGCAATATAATTGCTTCAAAAATGTTTGGTTGGAAATGTGGCTGTAGATTGTGTGTTTTTCCATTATGGAGGTCTAGGGGGCCATAAATCAGTCAACATCAGTGTACTAACTTTATGAGCAGATAAAACTCAATTTACTTTGCTCACAAAAGTGTCATTCAAGAGACGCTCTGTTTCTGATCACTGCTGTGTGGAAATCTCTTAGTGTTTCATTTAAAATCCAGACAGACATAAACAAGAGGACATATTAAACATGGGTTGATTTGAGGGTTTATGTACATCATTGATATTGTGAACCGTACTATATTCAAATATGTATGTTTCTGTTCAATCTTATTTCAAGGAAGGAGATGTGGCAAAAGGAGTAAATGTTGCTGTCTCTGGTTCTGAGTCTGTTGCCATGGTGGATATGGAAGATAAAAATAAAAAGGTGAAGACTGACACAGAAAGATACATTCATCAGTGCCAACGTATGATGTCATTTCCTTTGTCACCTGTCGATTTAAGCGGGCCAAGGGCAATTTCAGATTCGCAGACACTAGCAAATGGATCTTTGGAAAGACTATCCAAATTAGAGATGGCAGCATTGAGGTGCCATGTTGATTCTGCATATGAAACGAAATCTGAACGGACTGAAGCCTCTAGTTTTGCCCAAGAGAAGGCAGGCAGAGGTGGGATATACAAGAAAGAGACCTTCAATTCCTCTCTCACGGTCCAGCCCACCAAAACATCTCAACCATTTATTTTTCCAGAGAACACAAGCATGCTTGACCCTGAACACAAGCCTGAACCTCGGACCAAGAGCTTGAGAAATATCGATTCTACAGCAGGTAGTTACATTTCGCAGTCTGAAGAGTCTTCCAAGATGAGCACTGAGGTCAAATCAGAGGTCAAAGGTCAGACCAAAAAGGAGCCCTTGCAGACACTACAGTCATCTGTCTCAACTCTGAAGAACAGTACAGAGCTTACCATTTCGATGGACACAAAGCCAGTGGAAATATCAAATGTCTATCCGACTGATATTTTAGATACAGTCTATGACGCGTCACGGACAAAATCTGTCAAGGATTCAATCACAGCGCCAAGTGGTTCACCTCGAAACCTGACCAACGTAACCATGGAAACCAGCACCGGGAGCGCCTCAGTCAATAAAGTAAAGTCACAGGAGAAGAATAAAGAAATCAGAGCGACTAGTCAACCCACGACACCGATGCGAAAGCAACCTGTAGCAATTACTCAGCAAATGCCTTTTCATCAACCTGAAAGAGAGGAAGCTAGTACTGCAATGAAAGAGAGCGAGCAAGAACAGATTAAAGATACAGATGAGACTCCACAAATTAGACAGGATGATCTCAGTTATAGAAGTGAGCAAAAAGCCCCTGTGATTGAAGAATCAGAGACTGATGATTGTTATTCAGGTGATATTGCTGCCTGTCCAGTTCGTCCTACCACTGTGCCAAATACAACAACAGAGACCCACTGTAAGTTAAAAAAAAAATCTGAATACAAAAAAAGTCATTTTTTCAAGATGAAGTGTGTACATTTTAAATTCCATAGTATTTTATCCTACCCAAAATTAATTTGTATGTAAACCATTTGCCTAGTCTGTTAATTCCACAAAATGTGAGAAAAATATTTAATTTAATTTAATTTAATTTAATTTAATTACAAAAAAAAATTTTTAATTATAAAATATATTTATAATACTATATTATATTTGTTTATATATTTTTTGCTATTTTGGTGTGGAGATAATTTCTTACAGGGGAAGGTGAAAACAGACAAGGCTTCTCTCTTAAGCCCTAAGAAATGCAGATGTACAATATGAAAATAATGTCTAATTTGGCATTTTTGTTTACTCAGCCAATCAGATGCACAGAAACATAAACAGAGAAGGAGGGTTAGTACGCACAACGGGTTTCAGAGGCCCAAGGGTAAGAAACTCACTTATCTCTCTAATAATTCATTAATATTCGATTTTCTTTGCATTGATGTTTGTTACTGAAATGAAAGGTTTTACTATCGATTGATAGTGCTGTACGGTTTACATACTTTAAATTGCTAATGGTGTTTATGAGTCTCTGCCAGGTATACTAATATATTGACAACTTCATGTATCTGTTCCACTTTTAAATGAGAGAGAAATGCAGTGTTTCATAGAAGGTTAAAGAAAATCATTACAGTCTTACAGATATGAAGGATTCTATCATATATTAACCTTGAAGACAGAATATCAATATAGCTAGATGGCTGTTTTGAATAAAAATCATCTTCTCTATTTTCTAATACTGCAATTCTCACCCACATGGTCATCTCAGGCCCATTGCTAGCCTTTATAGGAAATTGAGTTTGCAGAGGCATTATTCAATTAAGTGTGGAGAAGAGGAGAAGGAGGGTCATTTACCTCCAGTGAATGGAGCTTATGAACAAGAACTGACTCATTGTATGACACTGAGAGAGAAATATCATCCTGCAAAGAGGAACAGAATTACAGGAATTATTTAATAATACCAGTGCTAGAGAGAGAGAGACGGTGGGGGTGGGGGGCAGTACTGACACCAAGTATCATTTTTAACAATTTTAGTGTATTTGCTGCACTTCTTGTACATTAAACTGTCAACCTGTTTATGTCATGCATATGTGTTATGCACATTCTAAAATGCTTAAGCAATGTTATATATGACCCTGGACCACAAAACCAGTCATAAGGGTCAATTTTTTAAAATTGAGATTTATAAACCACCAATAAATACAATAGATAAGCTTTCCATTGATGTGTGGTTTGTTATGATAGGACAATATTTGGCCGAGATACAACTATTTGAAGATCTGGAATCTGAGTGCAAAAAAATCCAAATATTGAGAAAATCGCCTTTAAAGTTGTCCAAATGAAGTTCTTAGCAATGCATATTACTAATCAAAAATTAAGTTTGGATATATTTACGGTAGGAAATTTACAAAATATCTTCATGGAACATGATCTTTACTTAATGTCCTAATGATTTTTGGCATAAAAGAAAAATCAATAATTTTGACCCAGACAATGTATTTTTGGCTATTGCTACAAATATACCCCAGCGACTTAAGACTGGTTTTGTGGTCCAGGGTCACATATTATATTACTGTCAACTTACATTACTGACAGTAAAAAGAGAGATTTAGTAACAGTGAAGCAACATTAGCTGAACACCTGCGCCCCCCTGTGGTTGCAGAGTGTCTGTACATAACTGTTGTCGATAGATAGATAGATAGATAGACAGATAGATAGATAGATAGATTTTATAATACACATATTCAAATATATTATATTATATTGATTTTTTTAGGGATATCGAGGCCCACCTGGCTTGTCAGGTCCTCCAGGTGAAAAAGGAGACAAAGTATGTATTAACCATTTATGATTATTGTAATCATATTTTTAATAAATCTTTTTTTTTTTTTTTTAATAAATTTTTCAGTCAAATAGTGACTTTAATGGGTGTTTGGGTGTCACATAGGGCTACGCGGGAGTGATGGGCCGGACGGGCCGGACAGGGTACAGAGGACCGATTGGACCACCCGGCATGCCTGCTATTATAGTCTGGTACACATCAGAAGAAGAATGGCAAGCACTCAAGGTGCATAAAAATATTTGTGCTCATTTTTTATTGTTATATTTTGTTACCATTTATTCTGTAAACAAAAAATTCAAATCGCTGATTCTGTGAATAGTTGAAATTCAAATGCTGCCTACATCCTTACAGTCCTTCGAAAACACTGTGTGGTTCTTATTTAGACGTTTCATTTTGCTTCCAGAAAAATAAATTCTACAAAAAACTGGTGTCATCGTGGCCGGTGAGTTAGTCTGTTCGACCCCTAATAAGAGCTTTATTTGAATTGCATCAGTACACTGCAGATTTAAATCTTTTTTTCCCCTTTTCTTTAGAGAGTGAAGGGATTACCAGGAACTTTGGGACCACGTGGAGATCCTGGACCACCCGTAAGTATTATATATATATACTATTTGACATATCATCTCCATTTTTTTGTCCATGTAATTTCCACACACTGACAATGTCAGTGATAATGGAACCAAATTCCTAATGCGCTCTGTATGTGATATTATGATATTTTTACAGTTTATTTATCTATTTTCAGGGGCCCCCTGGAGTTCCAGGCAAACAGGGGAGAAAGGGAGAGCAAGGGATACTTGTAGGTATCTCTGTTTCCTCTCTTCATCACACAATCATCTCTGGCAGCAGAAAAATGCTAGGTCACTGTTACATAGAGAAACATGGTGTGTAGTTTCATTAAATTGTGATCAAACCATGTGGAACCATGAGATGGGTTTGAAAGAATTTGACAAGCTCAGACTCATGCAGGCTTGTTGTCATTCAAATCATAAGAGCAGTTTAATCTGTGGCATCAAGGGAGAAGTGTGATCAAGATGACATTCATCTGAACTTCTGTTGGCTGCCTCCTCATTTACAAGCTTTTATTTAACCGGTTTTATAAATCTTACTCATCCCATCTTCTCATAATACAACCTGCCATTGATGATGAGTAGCAAACCACGTTTCTTGACTGTGATGTAAACTAAACACTGGCTAATTTAAAAGACAAGAAAACTTTCTGTTTCAAAAGGAAATACAACAACAGCATAAAGAAAACACTCTTGGATATCATTTTCTAAGATCAATTTTAGTTCAGGTGAAATGTTTTAATTAAGGATCTTTTTTAAATTAAAAGTAAAGTCCAAGTGAATATAGCTCTGTTGCATTCTATTATTAACTTAATCCGGTCAATAAATGTGGTTAATCTTACCTGATGAGTATATTTTGCATCTGTCTGGTATGTGATTGCTTCTTCTAACAGAGTTGGGCTATATGGCAGTAATGCTTCATTCTGAGTGGTTTTAAGACATCATTTATTTTCAGGAAGATTCCAAGTAAAGAACTATTGTGAAAAAAGTCCTTGTTAATGCTAAAAAGCTTAAATGAGGTATGAATCTGTTCTAGAATGGATCTGTTCTATATCGAATCTCTGCAGTATCTATAAATGCTGATAAGGAGACTGAACCATGTGCTATACTATCTACAGTGAGTATAGAAAAGAATCAACCCCTTTAAAATAATCACATTTTGTGCTTTGCAGCCTGAAAAGCAACAGTGATTCTGTTTTTAAATTTTTAAATTTTCTTTTTTTCTGACATGTTGGTGTCATGTCTATCACTTGGATGTTATAAGTTGCACTGAGTAAACACAGCTGGATAAAACAAAAACTGTGTCCGTCTTCATTTCAGGCTGCAAAGCAACAAAATGTGATTATTTTACAGGGGGGTGATTCTTTTCTATACCCATTGTATATCTTTTGTCATGCACTAGGGAAGAATAGGTCCAGTTGGAATGCCAGGGCCACCTGGAAGACCAGGACCAGAGGGCACAGCTGGGAAGGACGGGGAGAAGGGCCCACCAGGAACACCTGGGGAGGATGTAAGACTTATGGGAATCTTAAATGCTCCATATGCAACTTTTCTGAGACTTTAGTCTTTGCAACTTTACAGATCTTCTTTATGCACCAAGAGCTTATAACACTCCAAAGAGAAAGGAAAAATTGAAATCGCATCATATGACCCCTTTAAGTTATAGTAGTGTTAAATATGTTGTAGTAGTCTGCCTATAATTGCATATATTTGTCTGTGTGTGTTTTTCTGTAGGGCCCAAAAGGTTATGCAGGAGAGAAAGGCAGTAAAGGGGAGCTGGGTGAGTGGGTAAGAATGACCAGGATTTTTCTATGGATAATGCCATAACTAGGCCCTCGTGGAATCTGTGCTTACACAACTCCAATGAAAACTGCACCATTTTCCACAGAATTGGAACTTCCATCATGCATTAAATTCTACAAATCCTTTGACGCTTTGTGCCAACTATTTTGACTATTGGCGTTTTATAATATTTAAATATGTTCTGCAGAAGTCTGCAAATTCCATTTGGGCCTAGCATAACGTAATCTAAATATCCAAGATCAAAACAGAAGTCCAAAACTGTCCACGCAGTGTGTTTATTTGACATTTCAGCCATAAATCAAAACAAGTGATTGATTCTCTCACACTCCATATTCCATTATTCACATTTAAAGAAACGGTATCTGATGTGTTCAGGGTGATCTTGGCGAACAGGGGCCTCAGGGAACCAAAGAAAGAAAAGGAGAGATGGTAAAATGTTGCTCTTGCTCTCCAGACTTTCACTAGCTATGTATGATAAAATGTATGACCAGCCAACTCTGTTTCTTTAGGGGAAAAAGGGACAGAAGGGCCTAGCAGGGGTAGTAGGATATATTGTGAGTGACATCATACTTCTGAATGTGTATTATTTCTTTATGAGGCAGTTATTCTGTCTGTCTATATATACAGTACAATACCATTCAAAAAATTTTGACTGATATTATATCGCCTGATAATAATAATAATAATAATTTGTTACATTTATATAGCGCTTTTCTGGGTACTCAAAGCGCTTTACATGAAAGCGGGGGAAACTCCTCAACCACCACCATATAGTCACCATATATAGTCTCTTATGCTCACCAATGCATTTATTTGCAGCCTTGGTGAGCATACTGGTATGATATTTACCACATACTGGTAAAAAATGTATAGCCTGAATGCACTGTAATGCATAAATTAATTAATTAATTAATTTGATCAAATATGCAGTAAAAACAATAATATTATGAAATATTATTACAATTTAAAATAACTGTTTTCTATTTTAAAATATTTTAAAATGTAATTGATTCCTGTGGTTGCAAAGCTGAATTTTCAGCAGCCATTACATGAAGATATTAAGGTCAAAATAGTTCTATGACATTCTTAATCAAACAATATCTTTTCCATTCTCAGGGGCCACCTGGACCTAGAGGACCACAGGGATTCATGGGCCCACCTGGTCCACCGGTATGTGCTAAATTATCATTTTATTTTCCCATATAAAACATACAAAAATGATGAGCAAATTTGTAGTTTTTTTTTTTATGATCTCTGTCACAGGGACAGACAGGGGGGCTTGGGTTCACTGGATCACCAGGACCACCAGTATGTTACAAAAACTTAATTTAAAAAATGTAAAAAAAAAATTAAAAAAAATGTAATAAAAAAAAACTTAATTATTCCATATCATCTTTCAATTCTGACATGTTCAGAACTTGACCTTTGACCTCTTTTTAAAGGGTCGCACAGGACCGAGAGGGTTGAAGGGAGTTCCAGGCGTCAACGGACCCCCTGTAAGAAACACTATGGTTTTTACAAACTCCAATCCAATAATTTTAACTCTTCTTAAACAACATAATTCCAGTAATCACAAATAACTAGGAAAGTCATAGAGATTCGTAAGTCAAAAGGTGTAGGGAAATTGACTAATACCTAATGCTGATTCTCTTTTATAGGGACAACTTGGTGAGATGGGGCCAAGGGGACCACCTGGCAAACCAGTAAGTCAATGTTTTATTTCCCAAAAAAAATCCTAAAAACTAAAGAGATTAGTCATATGCCATTATATATTACAGGGAGAGGAAGGGCCTGATGGTATTATCGGTATTCCTGGTGTTCCTGGACCACAGGTGCTGTGGATTATACATTTTAACTTTTTCTTTACATCATGTATTTATGTACTCTTGGTCACCATGATTACATGCATATTATTTAACAATTAGGATCCATATTCTCGTTAATCAATTATTCTGAAATTTCAGTCATAGTCTCATATAATTGCTTTCATATGGACATATGGATATATAAATGAACATTGCAATCATGCTGGAAAATGTGGAATATGACCAAATGCTTAATCTGAATATTTATTTGCATGTCAGTGTAGTCATTGAGTCGGTTCTTGTCTCTTTCCTCTCCTCTCTCAAACTACTACAACTTCTGTTCATCTAACTAAACTCATTATCTTCCATAATCTATTCAGGGAAAACCAGGTGGCAATGGACCACCAGGTCAAAAAGGAGACCCTGTATGTGCATCTCATGTCATTTCATAAAAGCTTTGAAATTACAGTCGCATTTAAAATCTCATTTTGATTTTCCCACATTTACCTGAGGCATATGTATTTCTTATTCAAACAGGGAGATACAGGAATTGAGGGAGACATTGGGAGTCCAGGACCACCGGGTATAAAAGTAAGCCTGCGGGTCACTCTTCATCAAGAATTATAAATTATTAACAATCTCTTTAGATATCTCTCATATTCTTTTGATACCTCAATGCACTTCTATGGTAATGCATCAACATACATAAAGCCACATTCTTGTTTCAGGGTGCCAATGGAAATCCAGGAATACATGGACCCTCAGGTGATCCAGTAAGAATATTTCAAACAGCTCCTTAATATTTTATATGTTTGATTGTTGTGAGACACTATATTTTAGACTGAGTTTTCTTTTGTAGAGGCTGCTGGTAAAGCAATATATTTATTTCAGTGTGTAGTTAGTAGTGCTACACAATTAATAGAAAATAAAATCTAAATTGTGATGTTGGCTCTTCCTATTATTAAAGCTTCAAATATACTTTCAGTGTGTTGTGAAAGTGAGCACATCACTCTGTTTTATTTACTAGAGAAAATTATGTAATGATTTTGGGATAATTGTGTTTGCTGTCTATCTGTGAACATCAGGGACTGAAAACACCGCGTGGAATGAAAGGAGATCCTGGCCAAAAGGGAGATCAAGTGAGTTCACTAACATATTTGCAAAAGCTCCGGGCCAAGTAAACAATGCTTATTGAAAGCCAGATGCACACTGTTTTAAGACTAAAAAAACCCTGAGAACTAGACATCAAGGGAGTAAATTTTACTAATCTATCTTTTCTTATCTCTGGCTTCTCTTTGTCAGGGTCCTCCGGGGTTGCCAGGTAAACAGGGATTCAGAGGCAGAGGAGGGCGGTCTGGTGTACAGGGAGAGATTGGCCCTACTGGACCTGCTGGTTTACCAGGGCCCACGGTAAGCAGCAGCTACTTTTAACCGGTTAAAAATGGTCTCATTGAAAGCCAGCCACTTTGTATTGCTTTTTCTTCAGGGCTATGATGGTCCTATTGGAGATCCGGGGAGAGAGGGAAAAGATGGACTTAAGGTACAGTAGGCCTACTGTCATTCTCTGTTTGTCAAAGGAATCTAACATAATGTGCTATTCCAGTTATCTTGTATATAAATGGCATCTTTAGGGAGAGAGAGGCCCCCCTGGTATCCAAGGTGTTCCTGGAACACGAGGTGACAAGGTGATAATTGCTCAAAATGTCTTCTTGACAAGAGTCATATATTAGATTTCTCATACATAAACAATTTCAATAAGATTATTTTACTTCAATAGGGTCGGACTGGCCGAGGGGGATTTGCTGGTTTTCTAGGACCTTTGGTAAGTATGATTTCTTAAAGGGGTCATATGATGCGATTTCAAGTTTTCCTTTCTCTTTTGAGTGTTACAAGCTGATTGTGCATAGATACGATCCCTGAAGTTGCAAAGACTAAAGTCTCAAAACCAAAGAGATATTCTTTATCAAAGTTAAGACTCTGCCACGCCCCC